TACACTGAGTGATAGAGAGAGCGTCCTCTGATAAGTTGGAAATAAATACTTTTAGTCTGTCGAAATGCTCCGAAAAAAAGAACACAGCCTGTAACCAAGTTCCCCATCGTGTAATAACTGGTTGTGGAGGTAGGGGGATATTCGGACATATTTCTTTATATAAAGAAACTCGGGACGGTGCTTTTAACAAAATTTTTTTAAAACAGCTAATCAACGAATTAATGTCTGGAAAGCTGTCACGGATAAACTCACAAACTCGGTGTAACGCGTGAGCAAGGCAAGTTACATGCAGCATGTTTGGAAAATGTTCTTGTAATAGTTTCCCTGTTTTCAACATTACACTTGCCGCGTCTGAAATAAACAATAAAACTTTTGAAACGTCATTATCAATTACATTGTTCAATCCACGTTTCACTATTTCATAAATCATTTCAGCGTTCACAGTTTCACGAAACACACTAGAAACTAAATACTGTTGTGAAGTATTTTCAGCACTTAATAATCCTACAACAACATTAACAACACATCTACCCTTTATGTCAGTCGTTTCATCTGCACTAACCCAAATATATTTGCTGGAAATTTTCGTTTTTATTGCCGTCATTGCTTTATCGTACTGATTTTGAATATAATGTTTTCTAATTGTGGATTCATCCGGTATTTTACGTTTAGTATATTTACAAAGAAAATTTTTGAAAATTGTATTATTTAATTTTGTTAATGGAATATTTGCAGAAACAAATGCGTTGCATAAATCTTCATAAAAGATTTTGTCTGGACATCCCTCTAAAGATTGCATGTGTTTTTGTGTTTTCACATGTTGTGTCATACTTGACTTTCCATTAAAAACTAACACCTGATCACAATTGCGGCAGTATAATTTGTTGTCATTAAAACGACGAAAACAATCAAAGTCCGATAATAAATTTTCCATATTTACGTTTCCAGTTTCTATCACTTTTCCCTTTGAACTAAACAAATATACTCATTGGAAAAATCTAGTGATATTTTTACAAGACACTTTCTTCTCAAATCTCCTGTTTATCGACTCTTTGTTATCTTTTTACATTTTTTCAACCAACAGATACCTATATAGAGTGAGCAATTGAATTAATACATACATTACAGAAATTTAACAGACATTTATTTTATTGTCTCATCGTGTATAAGTACCATAATATCCACAGGAAATAAAAACATAAATGTTTTGTTACAAAAAATCGGTATGTACGGTATCGATAAAAGCCAAAATATTCATAAATATAATATAAGGATTGACTTTATTTGAATAAAAATATCACCGGCAACTAACCGACAATGGATCGAGAAAGTATAAGACAACATATGATGGGCCTATTTGACATTCATTTTAGGCCCTCTCTACAGCGTCTTAGTCCAAACGCTCGTAGAGTCCTAATATTTGGCCCCGATGCAATTTCTCCAACAATGAATCGGGACCAGCTAAGGCTAGAAATTTCCAATTTTCTGGAGGAAATAACAAATTCGGGGGAGGCAGCTGGGGTCCTCGATCCTCATTTTAGGCAGGAGAGTAGTGTACCACGCCAAAATATTGAGGAATAGATATTTTGTAATTATATAAGAGATAATAATAAAAAAAATATCATACAGAATATCGTTTACATTACTACACCTTAAACTCGCTTATGAAAAGTTTAACATCTTCATCAAAAAAGTTATTTTTTTTTAAGGAAATTTTCTCAGGCCACAAATTAAAGGATCTGAGGTTACTAAAAACTTTTGTAAAATATCCTACATATCCTCGGCGTTGGTGAGAAGAAAACATTAAATTTGTTTAATGAAAATGATTCAAAAGACAAAGAATATAGGTACACGATAAAAAAAAATCTCACTTTTTTGTATTAGTTTTAATGTCTATTTATATATCAGTACACTTTTTTTATCTTGTTTTAATAAAAAAAAGAGGTTTGTCCTGATAGTATTAGAATCTGCCGCACTGTCTGCCGTCTTAAATAGCGAACCCAGAATGAGACGCCTATGTGATTAAAACCAATTATTTGAACGCGATTAAAATGTCCGGTCTTTAATTATAACTACGGTGTCGTTTATCAGATTTTGAAAAACTTTATATCGATTAAAAGAAAATTGATTGTTTAGTAAAATATTTCAAAATAGTTCTGATTCAGTTGTTTAAAAGAGCACTAGGTGGCGTTGTTTAAGCAGTAACCATTTTTTTGAAGTTTTCTTGAAAAATTTAAATGGGATGTTATAATTTTTATACGTTATTTAGAAAGAGAATTAAATTCTGACAAGAAACAAAAAAACCGCGTCTTATTTTCTTTTTCCTAACCGAATATAAGCAAAATTCTATTAATGGTGAATAGTCCACTTAAATATTAATAAATAAAATTATTGATATTTTAATCTAGTTGGCCTTGAAACGACAGTAATTTTTCGATAGCTTAACTGTAAAGCGATTAAGACAAAAAATATTAAAATCGGATTTAAATTAACTCTTTAGTGTAAGTTTACTGGTTTAATAAAAACTAATTGCGAAATAAAAATTGAATATATTAATAAAATACAACAAAACAAGTAACTAAACACAGAATAAAATAGAGAATGCAATACAAGAATTAGAGGTAGTGCTCGAATTGTTTTCCATCTTTTTCAATGCAAATATCAAGTCTCTGTCTAGTTGAATTGACAGCACCTTCTATTTCAGCCCTAGGAATATGATCAATTTCAGTTTGTATTCGTTGAATTAGATCTTTTCTACTTACAGGCTGAGTTTGGTAAACTAAATCTTTAAGTCGACCCCACAAATAAAAATCTAATACGGTGAGGTCGGGAGATCTTGGTGGCCATGGAAATAGACTACCTCTTCCAATCCACCTATTCCGAAAATGTTGATTTAAAAAGTCTTTTACATTACTTGTATAATGTGCTGGGCAGCCATCCTGCTGTATCCACATATTACGGCGTACCTCTAGTGAAATATTTTCTAATAAAATAGGCAATTCGTCTCTCAGTAATCTTAAATATCGCTCACCATTTAAATTTTCAATAATAATAATAATAGGACCTATAATTTTACCGTCTAAAATTCCACACCACACATTTACTGACCACCGACCTTGATTAAAAACTTTTCGCATCCAATGAGGATTGTGGTCAGACCAGTAATGCATATTATGCCTGTTTACAGATCCATTACTGGAAAATGTAGATTCGTCGGACCACATTATATGTGATAAAAATTGTGGATCCTCATTAAGCATATTCTTAAGCCAATTACAATAATCCAATCTTTTATCATAATCTGTTAATTTCAGACCTTGATGAAGGGCTACATGGTATGGATGGAGACGATTTTGTTTTAAAATAGAACAAACGCAGTACCTAGTAAGTCCTAAGTCGGAAGCAATTTTCCGTATACTTATAGGTTGAACACAGCCAGTTTCTTTTAAACGAATCGCCAGATTTCTAAATGTTTCTCTTGTTTGTAAAACTCGCTGAGGATATCTCAACGCATATTCTCTGGATGCAATCGGGGCGTTCTCAAAACATTCAAAATATACTTTTAACATGTCATAAGCTTCGGAATTACTGTAAGGCATGATGTCTTTTAACTTAATAAAATATAATTAATTTGACATTTAAGCTTACTGACATTTCAAAGCCAACTTGATTAATATATTAATAACTTTATTTATTAATATTTAAGTGGACTATTCACCCTTAATAGACTTTTGCTTATATTCGGTTAGGAAAAAGATAAAAAGACGCGGTTTTTTTGTTTCTTGTCAGAATTTAATTCTCTTTCTAAATAACGTATAAAAATTATAACATCTCATTTAAATTTTTCAAGAAAACTTCAAAAAAATGGTTACTGCTTATACAACGCCACCTAGTGCTCTTTTAAACAACTGAATCAGAACTATTTTGAAATATTTTACTAAACAATCAATTTGCTTTTAATCGATACAAAGTTTTTTAAAATCTGATAAACGACACCGTAGTTATAATACATTTATTAAATTAAGGTTCCCAATCGCCCCTACCTGTTATTTTATTGAATAGAGCAAAAAGTGTTGAATAAAACTTTTGTAAAATTTATAGTTTCTGAGATACAACCGCTACGAGTCCTTAATCAGACTACACCGAACATTATATCCTCCTTTTACTGCAAAACTAATTACTTTTCCTCCAACAAATTTGGTTACGATTCAATTATATGTCTCTGCAGCATTATAAGTCATGTTTAATAATAAACTGTGGCTGTTTTGAACCAGATACAATGTCATCCATTTGTCCGCATTCTTCCATTTCTGTCATATAATCTCTGTCGTTTTATTCTCTTTTAAAAAAATATTGTGCACAGTTAGAATTATTTCCAAATGTGTGGTAAGGAGAGTTTTTAATATCTACAGCTAATTTCTTCACGTTGTCAACAAAATATCACTGGTCTTTCTTTTGTGGTAATTTACAGCCGATTTAATTCCCACTCGTAACTTCAAAATCCTATCACTAAAAATTTTTTAATGTGTGAAAATTTCTTTAAAATATTTAATTCTTATGAAGAAAACAAATAATTGGTGTATTATAATACAATATCAAAGATACAATAACCTTATTTCATTATTTTTTACAGTTTATAGTTTAGGAAAAAATTTAGTTAGGTATAATTTTTTAATGTGTCAAAATTTCAAAAAAAAATTAAATATAGGTTTCATATATTTTTGTATAATTTATACTCCAGCTAAATTTTTTTAGCTACAAATTTTAATTGCGTGAAAATTACACAATTTTGTTTAATTTTTCATAGAATCATCTAATACACAATAAATAAATAATTTATTTTTAGAATTCTATTTGTAGATAAATATTCTAAAAAATGTAGCACAAGAAAACTGAAAATTTAGAATCGCCAAAAAAATACTTAATAGTGCTGAAAATTTTATAGAAAAATAGAAAACCTCAATTTACGATCTAAATAAAAGTACTACATTTTTTTACAGAATCTCCAAGGAAGTATGTGGAAAACGAAGTAACCATCCACTACAAGACGCCGGTGCGTCAAGAAATAAAAGACTATCTAAGCGAAGACGAATTGGCCCACCGGCAGGCCGAGACCATGAAGAAGATCTACCAGGAGGAGAGGCGGAAGAAATATCTACAGGTTAGCAAGTCACTTCAAGTAAGTTATCTCGAATCGATAGGGTACAGGTGTGGCCGGTGTGGCGGCTGGAACGCTTTTTCTTTTTCCGAATAATCAGATGCGTCAAACACTAACGGCTGCTTGGTTTTTACTAGAGGAGTGAAGTGGTTTGTAAAGGTGTTTTTGGATATTAAAATTTTATTAGCGGTTACAGATAAAATAAATTAAAGTCTTTAATAGTTCAAGATTTTCTGGAACAATAAAAATATTAATAACAAAGTGTTATAACATATGCTTGCTTCATTGTTATTTTTTTTTTACATAACGTTTTATAATTTGATATAAAATGCCTACAGGATGTCCCAATTAAAACACTTTCCAAATATCTCATAAACTATTTGATACGTTTAAAATCCAATAAAAAAACATATTCGATAGATATGAGTGGTTTATTTTAAATATTTGTGCTATTTTTTTATTGGGACAACTGATGTAGTGATATCGTTAAGCACTGTATAATATTTTTTATATTTTATTAGGAACTTCAAGATATGAACTCCAGACGGCACACAGACAATTTCATTCCCTCTCAAAAATCTCCAATATCCCTTAATAGATACGATGACTTTGATGATCTAGCGCCCAATGCCCGACCAAGACCCCGATCTCCAGGTAAGCCCAACAAACAACTCTTTTTAACGCATTTTATTTTATTAATTTTTTTTTTGAGTGGATCAATGAGTAGGTAATTTTGTTATAACCTAACTTAACTAGGGTTGCAATCTTAAAACTAAAGTTCTACTCGCTAGTATACCTTAGGGTCTGATAACTTAATTACACTAAACTAACGTGTAACACTAAACCGCATAATGCTTTGCTTTGTTATTAATAAAATCATTTGGCTAACTCAAAAGGTTTCACTCTCTTGAGTCTTATTGTCAGGTTCATATTGTCAAGAAACTGGATCACCTTAACGTTCATATGTTGGTGGAGCCGTTGTTCGTGACTCCTAGCGAATCTGGTGATAGTCTGGTCAACAGTGTACATCTGAATGTCTCGATGAAGGTCGCTGTTTCTAATGTACCAAGGAGCATCGACAATGTTCCTCATTACTTTGTTCTGAAATCTCTGAATTATTAGAATATTACTGTAGCTGACACAACCCTAGAGCTGAATGCCAAATTGGTTTGAGAACTTGTTTATATAATAGAATTTTGTAGTTAAGCTGAAATTCCTACCAAGTCACCAGTACATTTTCTTGAATTTTATATCTAACTCTTGTCTTTTCTTTTTAACATGGACTTTCCAGCGAAGTATTGCATCTAATGTAATATCTAGATGATTTGCCGAGTTAACATAAGAGACCTGAGCATTATTTATGTTAATTGGTATCCTTTGACCATTTTTGTTAGTAAAATTAATATTAACTGATTTGGTTTCGTTTAGTTTAATACGCTATGTCTTGGTCCAATTATTTATTTGATTAACTGATGTTTGTAGTTTATTTGCAGCCTCTTCATGATCTTTGCCTATCGCTAGGATAGCAGTATCATCTGCAAATGTAGCTAGTGTATCTTATTTTAGTTTGGGTATGTCACAAGTGAATAACAGATACAAATTGGGTCCCAGTACGTTTCCCTGTGGTATTCCTGCTTTAATTTCTTTCCATTCAGAGTATGCTTCATCTTGTTTTACTCTTTCTAACTGCTGGGTGGCGTTGTTAGGTTTGGTTTTATCTGATATAGCTCTGGCCTGATGCCATTTGCTCCTTTGTTTTCTTTTTGCAGAGAATAGGTCCCTTATTTCTTTAGGACAGTTATTTTCTGTTGTTCGCTGCACAATAGGTGGCGTATTATCCGATGCTGCTTGTATGTTAGACACAAGTAGTTCTACTTCTTCATCTAGCTGTGCTTTTGTTCTTAACCGAACTGAAAGATTGATTTTATTTTCAAGATCCAGTCTGAAGCTTTGCAAGTCTGTTCTCCTATTTATTAGTCTAGGAGCGTCTTCCTTTTGGATAATGGTATCACTAAGAGTGAGAAGAATGGGCAAACTATCCGAATTCATGTCCCATGCCTCATCAACTTGAATGTAGTTTGTTGAAAGTCTATTATGTCGGGTATTTTGTTTTTATCTGTGGGCCAATAAGTTGGTTTGCCAGTTGAATGCGATTCACATTTTAACTGTGTCATTGCTTCTTTTAGGTTTTACCCTTAGTTGTTGTTAGTCTGGAGCCCCAGTGGGTGTGTTTTGCATTAAAGTCGCCTCCAATGATAAATCTAGGTTCTTGACTATTGAGGAAATATAGGTATTGTTCTTTTTTAACGGTATGTCTTGGAGGAAAATACACAGAAGTGACCATAATATCAGAAGTTTTAGATTTTATCACTACTGAAGTAGCCTGAAATTTTTCCCGCTTCTTGATGATGCTTAATTGCTTATCTAATTATTACTGCGCTACCCCATCTTGCAGCATTTCGGGAATGAATGGTATGATAACCCCTATATCTCTTAGATTTAATAAAGGTAAATTGAGTCTCAAAAATTAAGCATATGTCTATGCTTTCTATATATAGGATTACTTGCATTTCTTGTTGGAGCTTCAGCAGTCCATTAGCAATCCATTCCATTATTATTAGGCTATAACTCATTATATTGTCTCTTAGGTATAGCTCCTTTGCTACTATATTCTAATCTAGTAATTCGTTCATCCATTTTGTTCAGCTTTTCCAGTATTTGGTATGGATAAATCTTGATTTTTATCTATTTCTTCTTTTTCACCAGATACCGTCTGACTGAATAATCTAGATTAGTCTATTAAATTGTTTCTATTAACACGCTTATGTTGGATTACTCGCTGTGGCTGTTTAGGTAAGTTTGATTTTTTGCCGTGTTATTATTTTTGATTTTTTGCATTTCCTTGGCTACTTCTCATCCCCTGTAGCTAGCAGGATGTCCTTTGCCGCAGTGAACGTATTTAGGTGGAGCATCTTTCGGTTTTGCACAATTTACAGTACCTTTGAGTGTGCTTGACACTTTTCGCATTGAGGTACTAGCTTGGATTTTCTAAGAAGTACGATTTCTACCTATACTCCCATAATTTCTCTGATTCCATATATTTTTTCAACACTTTCGTCGCGTTGGAATGTAAGCATGAACATATTCAATGGTTGTTTAGTTCTATATTTTAGTTTTGGAGTAGCACAAATAATATTAAAGCCACGACATTTCAAATCACTAATTACATTTTCTGGTTCGCAAGAATTCTGTTTGTCCTCATACGAGTACCAAGTGTACTCTTGTTCTGTTAACAGTATTCTATATTCTGGTCCTTCCGGAACGTTAATTTTAACATTATTATAGTTGATGACTTTAATTTGGGAGTTTGGGATTTGTCTCACCATACTTTGGAGTTTATTAAAGTTTTCGACGTTATCCACTATGATAGGTGGTGGGGCCTTGATTTTTACAGCTTTTTCTATTCTAGTGCTGTTATTTTGTTGTTGTGCCTGTGGTCGCGGAGGTGTCAATGAAGTATCCATTTTTCTTTTTTTCTGTTTTTTACGCGGATATTAATGAGAGTAGAAATAATGATTCATTTCGAAGGACCATATGAAACTATTCATCGCATATTTCATACAAAATGGCTAGAAATATTTCGAGGCAAAACAATTGTATCGATTCTCTTAAACAGTTTGATTTTTTCCTCCAAATAAATAAGGAAAATCAAGAAGATTCTGAATCACCTCATAAAACTGTTTATAATATGATTTAAAAAAATCATTGTTTACTGCTTGTCTCATAAATAACTATTATATGTAATTTTAATAATAGTAAGTATGCATAAAAATTGTACTTTTTGATTTTATTTCAGAACATAGACTTTGCGCGCGCGCCCTCTACAACTTCGTCGGCCAATCAGCGAGAGAACTAACTTTTAGAAAAGGTGACATTATATACTTGAGGCGACAAATTGATAAAAATTGGTACGAAGGAGAATTGAATGCAATGGTTGGACTATTCCCGGCTAACTACGTAGAGGTAAGTTCACATACTTATTCCTAATATTTTCTGAGGTACAGATACAGGCTAACAGAGTACCAGAAAACCAATAGATTAAGGTGAATGGGACACCTTAGTTGCCCACGGACAGAAACAAATTACTTTTTGCTGTACGAAATATTTTAGCAAACTACATCTAATTTGATGTGGCACATGAATTCATATTATTGTCTCATTCTTCTTACTCTTCTAAAAGGAAAGCGCTCTTAGACTAGTAAACAGGAGAACAGAGAACAGCTTCAGAATAGACCTTGAAAAGACAATCAATCTTTCACTTCCGTTATGAACAGTAGCAGCAACTTGTTTCTAACAATACAGAAAACAGCATGGCTTAATACCCTATCTATTGCAAATAAGTAAAATAGGATCTGGTAGAACTAAGTGTAATACCACTTAGGTTCTTTATTTTCCAAATGAATCCGCCATCATCCAGTTCAATCTACTTCTTGGCTTAGTATATTCACTGCCTTCTTGTTTTGTAATTTATATTTTTTGATTACTAACTTAAGTCATCCCTTAACTTCTTGAAAACAGAAAGCCTACTGAAAATTTGTAGACGTAGTGCTGCCAGCCTTTTTAACTCTCAAAATTAATGATTTATATTTTTTTCCCTATAACACAGAAGTTAATCCTGCTGGTGTCTAATTCTCTATAGCTTACTGCATTTGTTGTTGTCTGCTCTACAGCTGGTCCTGCTGGTTTATTCTCTTGTTTACGCCCTTGTAGTAATTTATTAACTGCTTCGGTGTTTTTGTATCGTTTCCAAACTCTTTTCCATGCAAGTCTAGTACAGTTACCTCGATCCTGCCCAATTCCTTACTACATTTACTACTGTATGCACAGCAGCTGGTCCTGCTACTTTATTCCTTCAAAACTCCTCATTTTTATAATATTTTCTAATATCTAAACGGTATTTCCAATTTGTACGTGACGAATAATGCTTCGAACTTTTTTAGATCATTCCTTTTGAAGGGACGAAAACCAAGTCGACTTTAAGGAAAGCACACGAAGGACAGGCCAGGGCCAAATATAATTTTGTAGCCCAAACTCACTTGGAACTGTCCCTAGCCAAAGGAGAACTAGTCGTAGTGACGAGGAAAATCGACGATAATTGGTTCGAAGGAAAAATCGGTGGCAGAAAAGGTAAGTAAACTTTAATATTATTTGTATGAATTATGCGGAAACAAAAATTTAAAAAAGTCAATGAACAACGAATGACATAATCATTATTAGCATGGTACATAAAATTTACTCAAAATCCGACCAAAACTAACAATGTAAATGCTATTGCACATTTTTTTGTCGTTATTTCTATGAATTTCTATGAATTTCTATGAATTTCTATGAATTTCTATGAATTTCTATGAATTTCTATGAATTTCTATGAATTTCTATGAATTTCTATGAATTTCTATGAATTTCTATGAATTTCTATGAATTTCTATGAATTTCTATGAATTTCTATGAATTTCTATGAATTTCTATGAATTTCTATGAATTTCTATGAATTTCTATGAATTTCTATGAATTTCTATGAATTTCTATGAATTTCTATGAATTTCTATGAATTTCTATGAATTTCTATGAATTTCTATGAATTTCTATGAATTTCTATGAATTTCTATGAATTTCTATGAATTTCTATGAATTTCTATGAATTTCTATGAATTTCTATGAATTTCTATGAATTTCTATGAATTTCTATGAATTTCTATGAATTTCTATGAATTTCTATGAATTTCTATGAATTTCTATGAATTTCTATGAATTTCTATGAATTTCTATGAATTTCTATGAATTTCTATGAATTTCTATGAATTTCTATGAATTTCTATGAATTTCTATGAATTTCTATGAATTTCTATGAATTTCTATGAATTTCTATGAATTTCTATGAATTTCTATGAATTTCTATGAATTTCTATGAATTTCTATGAATTTCTATGAATTTCTATGAATTTCTATGAATTTCTATGAATTTCTATGAATTTCTATGAATTTCTATGAATTTCTATGAATTTCTATGAATTTCTATGAATTTCTATGAATTTCTATGAATTTCTATGAATTTCTATGAATTTCTATGAATTTCTATGAATTTCTATGAATTTCTATGAATTTCTATGAATTTCTATGAATTTCTATGAATTTCTATGAATTTCTATGAATTTCTATGAATTTCTATGAATTTCTATGAATTTCTATGAATTTCTATGAATTTCTATGAATTTCTATGAATTTCTATGAATTTCTATGAATTTCTATGAATTTCTATGAATTTCTATGAATTTCTATGAATTTCTATGAATTTCTATGAATTTCTATGAATTTCTATGAATTTCTATGAATTTCTATGAATTTCTATGAATTTCTATGAATTTCTATGAATTTCTATGAATTTCTATGAATTTCTATGAATTTCTATGAATTTCTATGAATTTCTATGAATTTCTATGAATTTCTATGAATTTCTATGAATTTCTATGAATTTCTATCAATTTCTTTGTCCGTCTGTTTGCCCCATCTATCTGTCCATCTTTTGATGACAATATTTATTACAGGAATTTTCCCTGCTAACTACGTAGATATCCTGATCGATCCCCAATCTTCTGCAGCACCAAGTTCGAAACCAGTAGCGGCTCCTGCGTCTCATTCTTTATTACTTAATGGTTCTTCTGGTGGTAAAGAATCTATGGGATCCCACAGTTACAGGCCCAGTTTGCCAAGCGGTGCCCAATTGACGTCAAGTTACCACGCCAAGCCAGTACACGTGTTGAACACTAATGGTAAAATTCCAGGACTGAGCCAAGCGCTGCATATCGAAACGCAGAGCGAACCAGTACCGTAAGTGATGCTTTTTTGCACCCAAATAATGATCATATAACTATGTTTTTTTAGATACCGAGCTATGTATAAATATAAACCCCAAAACGAAGACGAATTGGAACTCCTAGAGGGCGACACGGTGTTCGTTTTAGAAAAATGCGATGACGGTTGGTACGTGGGTTCCAGTGAACGAACGGGTGCGTTCGGTACCTTCCCTGGTAACTACGTGGAAAAAATTTAGCATAAACTGCCTTTGCTGTACCTCGTTTAGGAACCATAACTCTCGAGAGGCGAAAGCATTTTTGCGCCAGCTTCGGGTCGACTGGTTCCACGGTTCTTTTTTTTTAGCAAAGGTGCCAGTTTTGGGTAAATGAACCTGTAAAGTCGTACGATAAAGAGAGTAGAGTCAGTTTTACGAATAGTGCAAGGGAATAGATCGGAATTTAATCTAGTGGGCATTCGTGTCGATTTTAAAGTTTCTTTGGGTGGGAATAAAACTGGACGTCTTAGTTTTTTTACGCAGTAGATGTTTATCACACACACTCACTTGTAACTGACTCTATCATCGTTGTTAACGAAATTTTTACAGGATTCTTTCGATTTTGAGCACAATTTTTTTGTTTTTCTGCCAAAGAGACGCGTTACCTTTTCGTAAAGAACCAACTTTTAACTATAGGTCTTCCGACAATAAATAAATTTGACTACTATAAAAATATAACTTTTTTGGAAATTTTTAAATTGATTTAATCAAACTAACATCATCAGCTTGTAGATATTAGCAGTTTTTAAGAAACTAATTCTAAGAAATAATTTTCATAATAATGCAATTCTAGTCACTAGCCAAATGGTAATTTTTAGCATTAGGTATACAGGTTTTTCTTGAAAAAGATACCTGGATGTTTGTACATTTTGTTTTGCACCAAAAATGAAATCGCTAGAGTTTTACATGAACAATGTTCTTCCATAACATAATTGTAGATATTTATATATTATATATATAGAGAGAGTTGTATTTAACTTTTTTGGCATATCGTATATTTGTACCTTCTATAGTAGACGACTGTGTTCCCTAATTTCTAACCCACCTTGTCCTTGTAATAAGACTTAAATTATAGGAGTGCCTTTTGAATACAATACTGACTTTTAAAGAAGTTATTTAGCAAGATATTCATGATAATCTCCATTTTACAATTTTTATAAAAATGTCCTGTACTATTTAACATTAAAAATTATGGTACAGGTATTTTATTCAAAAAATTGGAAAACATTGAAAATCATCGAAATAAATTCTTGGTCGTTATTTTTTGGGGTGAATTGGCAGCCGAGCCTAATGCAACCATCAGTAGGGTTGCTATTTTGCAAGATTTTTATGATAATCTCCATTTTACGATTTTCATTAAAAATTACCTGTACTATTTAACATAAAAATCAAAAAAATATAGTACATGTATTTTATTAGAAAAATTGGAAATCGCTGGCAGTTATTTTTTCGAGCAACCGCAGGGTTGCCAATTAACAAGATTTTCATGATAATCATTTTACAATTTTCACTCAAATTTACCTGTACTATCAAACATAAAAATCAAAAATTATAGAACAGGTATTTTTTACAAAAAATTGGAAAACGTTGAAAATTATCGAAATAAATTCTTGTCCGTTATTTTTTGAGGTGAAATGGCCGCCGAGCGTATCGTAACCATTAGCGGGGCTGTCATTTTCTTCAGTTGTTATTGTTTTCCGTCTAATTTATATTAAAAAAAGATGTTTAGATAAAGAATTATATTTTTTCGCTTTGTCAAAGAGCATTATTATACTTCACCCATGTTTATTTGTAACATTTTTGTTTTACAATAAAAAAATATTTAACGTTACTTAATTTTTGTTTTAATTCCACCTAACGTGACGCTTGATTGAACTCAAAGATTTGGAATACGCCAAAAAGTGTGTATTATTCAATTTTTCAAGTCACGTTATTACATTTACAAGAAAATATTATACATATAAAGTAAAACAAGTAAGTATGAAACTTTATTTTTAATCCAATCTTTTTTTTGCAATTTTTTGAAATTAGAAAATATAAAAATGTATCCCTATATTCCTAAAGTGAAAACAAATAAAACAAAAATTTAAAAAACTGAGATAGAAGAGAAAAAATGAATGAACGTTCATCCGCCAAGTATAGTTCTTGGCGCCTCTACCTCTTGGACTGCCGAAGCACATAGCTATGATAGTCAAATTTGTAGATTTGAAGTCATGACACACACATTCTCCTACCCTTTCCCAGTTCTCTCAATTGTCCTTAAAGCTAGACCTTGCAACATCGTTACTGACAAAAGAATAAATTATCTTAGAATTTGTTCTAGTACAAGTTAAGCCTTTGAGTCATTTTGATAACCTAGTAACTAATTCCCACAAATGTCCTGAGGAGGCTTCCTTCCCCATACATATTCAGAGGTGAAAAGACTAGCACTAAGAGAAATAAATTTATTTATTTAAATATATTAAGGATTCTTATTTATGTTAAGCTTTCGTTATACACTGTGTTGTATACATGTTTTACTGGAAATAACTATATGTTCGGTTAGGATTAAAAACTTTTGTTATTGTAGATATACGTTTTGAAACTGTATGCTTTCAAATCGATTCGTGGCCAGACAATATTTTCGTTTAGTTCAAGTAGATCATTTAAAAACGGAAATCTTTTTTATAGAGCATATAAAAGACAAGTTAAGCCAAGTAAAAACAAATAGCAATAATTTACTTATAATAGTAATAATATTAAATGTACATATTTTATAATAAAATTATTATTCAATGTAATCAAAACAAGTTATTGGTTGTATCTAGATGTAATAGCTGTATGTAGAAGTAAGCTATTTATAAAACAAAAAAAGGGAATAAAAATTTCCATGAAATATATTATTTATTTAGCTCACCACTCAATAGTTAAAAACCAATTACATATAGAATGGGATGCATACAGAAAAAATACATTTTATTATACATCATACACATTTTCAGGGAAAAAAATGTTCAGTTATATTTGACTGCCTATATTAAAGTTCTCTTTCTCTTTCAGAAGCAATTAGTGTAGATGAATGGGAGCTTAAAGACATTGTGGTTTTAGATGATTAGTTTATCAAATCTTGAATAATTTTTTTTGTCTTTTAAAGAGAGTTAAAGATTGAAGTTCCCTGCCTTGCACATTTTCATTCCTACTATTGAAATGTACATAAAATTTATTTTGCCCATTTATTAATGATACACTTTTTATTAAATTTTAAAAGCTCCAAAGGCTACTACCAGCACCTGTTTGATTTTTAAAAATGTAAAAGCTAATCATACCTTTTCGTTAGCCTTTTATTTTTCTTTTCCAACTTCGAAATTCCCAATGTTGCAAATTGAGATAAGGCCATATTTTCTTTACTGTCGGTATTTTCAAGCCTGTAAACAATACTGTAATAATACTTACATGTTTACTATTTTACAAAATAAGAAAATAAGTGTATTTCGAAAGTCACATATATATGATATCTAATTACATTACTTCCAGTGTTTATATGGAAAAAACTTACACATTTCGAAAGCAAGATACAGGTACAGCTTTTGGTATAGCTCCTTTTATTAATCTATTGCTACCTTTATAATAATGTTCAGTTAAAAAATGATCTGAACATTGATATGTGTTGTTAGACATGCCATTAATGCTCAAACTGAGCACTTGACACTAAGCCAGTTTGGTTGTGAGCTCAGTAGAAAATCTGAAACAAGTAAAAAAAAGATTTAATAAATTAATGGCAAATAATACAATACAAAAAAGTATCTAATCCATTTTACAATACACTACTAAATTAAGCGTTATATCGCAAAGGAAACAATTATTGCGATGATGCTCAAATGAAGAACTTTCTACAAACATGTTTTTTTATTAATTTGTTCATTTCCCATTTTAAGTTACGTTTATGGAATATAGAATACTTCAACGTCAACCGGGATCTGGTCCAGGGAAGTTAGGGAAAATAGCGGAAATTTTTAGGGGCAGCAGATTACGAGATGCGGTTTTCTGCATTATGTTCAGGAAGGTCCCAGGAAAAAAGTCTATATCGTCTGGTTTAGTCATTTTTTGAAAAATGCCTTCTGGGGCGGAAAATGCAATTGCATCGTTACTTACACCATTAGAGGAACGACTGGAAACTCGGAAAATCGCTTGGAAATCGTTACTCGGGGGGTTTTCGGAGCTGCCGAACTCGATTCTGGCATTAGAATTATCCGGGGGGCGGCTCTGTGGGGTATCCGGGGGGTCATTCTAGGGGGAAATGGAAGCGTCCATGAAAATCACTCCAAAATCGTTACTCGGGAGTTTTCGGAGGTGCCGAATTCAATTCTGGCAACGTGGTCCTTAACGACAGATGTAATTCTGATGCCACACAGACCAGTGTTGCCAGTGTGCCAAAAAAACGTAATAAATTTCAGTGAAAGGTAATAGATGTCAGTTAAATGTAAGAAATGTCATTTTAAGATCAAATTTCTTTACATTTCGGCGCATGCGCACATTTCAATGGATTGTTTCAGACCTAATCCAAACTGTTTAAGCATGCGCGATATAAAGGTAGTAATATTTTTAAATTGTGCTTACTGGAAATGTAAAAATTGATTGAGCATGAGGGAGAATTTACCAAGGTATTTTTATTGAATGAATAGTAATAGATTTTAGAAAAACGTAATAACGTAACATTTAAACCAAAAAAGTAATAGATTTATTACGAAAGTAATGACAAGAACAACCCTGACACAGACGCCGACTGCGGGCGGGAACTGAACCCATATTTTTCCTCTTTAGTCGGTACAGAGTATTTCTGTTCGCGCCGGTCCCCGTGGTCCCCGTTGTAACGATACTCTTTATAGCTTTGGCGCCTTTTTCAAATCCACTTTCGACGCACAAAAGACTTCCAAAGCAATTTTTTTTATAATATGTGTAATATTTGTTTATTTAATATTCAATTCTAATGCCAGAATTGAATTCGGCATCCCCGAAAACACTCTATTAACGAAGTTTGGAGCGATTTTCATGCAAGCTGCCATTTCTTCCCCCATTCTTTCCTCGCACACCCTTACCGAGCCACCCCCGTGCCCCCGGGGAAATCTAATGCCAGAATTGAATTCAACATTCCCAAAAACACCCGAGTAACGAGTTTGGAGCTCTTCCCATGGACTACACAATTCCCCCTCAGAATGACTCCC